TTAGGTGGCAGACAATGCATATTGGATATTTTTCCATTGTTCAAGGGCCAAAGCTGGAACTGTCTTTCAGGACAGAATTAATACAAGAGGGAAATGGGTTTTAGGAAGTTTTGGAAGCCTCTCTCATCTCTTTGAGAAGCCAGGCCAGCAGATAGAATTTGAGTTGTTTTACACAGTAAAAAAAAAACTAAAACAAACCAAACCAAAACAAAAACCACATGCTATGAACCAATATTCTACAACTTTCAGAAACACGTAAGATTAATGTATTTTGGAATATATAATGCACGACAGCAAAAAGAGAATTAATTCATCTGAGATTAAAGGGGAAGTGTGGACTTCTCAAATTATTTTGAGATGTTAAAATATGTGCCTTCACATGTCAAGGTAAGAGAAAATGCTGGCATCTTGACAAATCATTAGTAAATTCTGTCTTAATCAAAAGTACTCTAAATTAATTTTTGTACTCTATGTCCTTCTTACTCTGTTCTTCCTATTTTAACTAAGGGAACAAGTACACCAAAAACCAGCTAACAAAAAAATGCATCTATCTTCCTAGCTTCTGGGCATAGAAGTAAATTTATGACAAATTTAATACTAGCTGGAGAGTCATGAAGCCCAATTATAATTATCTTGCTGAGAAGAGAAATTAATTAAACATCCCAGTGATAAAGACCTCACAGCAAACCTAGAATCAACACACCACAGGAGAAGGACAGGGGCTTGAAATAAAGGAGAAGAGAAGGCGAAGGCAATATTTAGCTCATCTTTTCGGACAGTAATGGACCGGGGTCATCTTTTCAAGAGAACATGGAGTGCAGTACATCGCAAATGGGACTACCTAGTGGGCAAAGTCGGCTGCATCCCTATTTCTCCTCTTCTACTCTGTGATTTGCTAATGCGAAACACATGTCTCCCTTCTGCACCAAGTTCAGATGACTCTGGAATTCCAACCGTGCAGCTCAGCGACTGAACCAGAACAAGGGGAGAACTTGTCAGGATTTAAGAGCTTTCAGCAAAGCCCTTCAATTGCAGCCAGCACCCTATTCCACGGGAGGATATCAATTATAGATAGTGACTTGCTTTCGCAGGCAGTCGGGACTGTCAGACACTAGATAGACAACCATGAAGAATCATGAATCTTTCTATTAACTGTAAGAGGGGGAAAAAGAATGGGTCATGGCTATAAATAAGGCAGGGCATCAGAATGGTTTAACACCTTGCCTCTTGGTTGTCGGTAGCATGAAAATTCAACTAATTCACAAAATGTCCTCTCTCCAAGGAGAGTCGCAGGAACGCACACAGGTCATACTTCCTTCTGCCCCTATAAAACTGGTTCTGCCACTGGTTTTTGGTCCAGCTGCCACCCAAGTAATTAGGTGGACTTGAACTAGCTATTCATTCCGTTGGCAAAAAAATAATACACCAGGCCACTGCTGAAGCTATCAGATTCACCATGAGCAGGAAGGCACTTATTATGTCTGTCATGAGAAGGAAAATCAATTTGAACATACAAGTTTGGAATTTCCGGACATCAGATAACAAGTAAAAAGGTATGGAATAAGTGGTATAAACCAGCATCCTTATTTATGTTTTTATAAGTTAAAAATGTTAATTTCACTTAGCTAAGCTTACTGAACTCATAATTAATCTCAGACTTAAACTAATATCACAAAGTGAATATACTGGGTAGTCTCCTAATCCTGACACAAATTTCTTCCTGAAGATTTGAAATTAAAAAATGTCACTGCATGTGTCATTCATTCCCTAATTTTTATAATAAAACAGACAACATGGTGGCTGTTTAGTTGACTGGTGAAGCAGCCTTGCCTTAAAACTACTCAGAACTCTCTGTTAAAGCATCTTTCCTACCTAAAACCTTGTGTCACTGAGATTAGATAGAAGTATCTGTGATATCCACTGTCTTTTAAAAACTTTCCTGTGACATAGAAGGCATGGAGAATATGCAGGTATCACCACAACCCAAAAATGTTACATTAAAACCGGCCTCTGATGAAGAACATGATTCCTTTTAAATGTAGACTTAGAATATACTCCTATTGCCTTTCCCATTTGATAACAACTGGACCAAAATCAGGGCAGTCCTTGGAAAAATGACTTGTCCACAGAAAAGGCACCATGAGACTGAGTCTTCTCTCAGAAGGACGTTTTAAAAGGCAAGCAGCATTGCCAACATCTCGTTTATGACGACAGGTTTTGTACAAATAGTTCTTCCCAAGTACGCTGTTCACCACTCTACCACTGAGTGTATTCTTGGCCTCTTCCCCTCTTAGGGATTATATCCCCACATTAAAAGAAAAATTCCAAACTTTTTTTTCCTCTTTAGTGTTACAATGTCTGTGGTTTCCATTAAAATTTAGCAAGAATAAAAGGCCATTAAGTCAGGCTTGGCTTAAAAATAACACTTGCATCAAATTAAAGAGCAGGAATCAAATTAAGTTCATGGAAAAATCTGGAAATACACCCTAATTAAAAACATTTGACTTTTTAGCTTCTTGCTGGCTTGGAGAAATCTAGAATTCTCTCTATACTATTACAAGGAGACATAATTTAAAAAGAAATGGGGAGGAGGGGCCCGGATGTCATGTTAAACTCTCAAAATGTTCTGTATATGATGGACCTTAAAACCTGACAAACCATGTATTTGACCCTATAACGTAACTGCTGATAGCTCAGTTGGTGAAGAATCCACCTACAATACAGGAGACCCTGGTTTGATTCCTGGGTCGGGAAGATCCCCTGGAGAAGGGATAGGCTACCCACACCAGTATTCTTGGGCTTCCCTTGTGGCTCAAATGGTAAAGAATCCACCTGCAATGCAGGAGACCTGGGTTTGATCCCTGGGTTGGGAAGATCCCCTGGAGAAGCAAAAGGCTACCCACTCCAGTATTCTGGCCTGGAGAATTCCATGGACTGTATCATCCATGGGGTCGCAAAGAGTCGGACACGACTGAGCGACTTTCAAAAATAATAATAATAATAATGTAACTGCAGCATGTGCATATATTAGCAGATGGGCCAGGGTACAGAAGACACTCTTCAAAAGCCCAAGCAATTGCCATATATACATCACTATGCATAAAACAGATATAATGAGAACCTACTGTTTAGCACAGGGAACTCAACTTAGTGCTCTGTGCTGACCTAAATGGAAAGGACATCCAAAAAAAGGGGGATATATGTATTCATATAGCTGATTCAGCAGAAACTGACGCAATATTGTAAAGCAACTATACTCCCCCCCCCAAAAAAAGCCCACGCACAGAGCATATGAAATGTGGAGGGTGTGTCAGGAATTGTATAGTCTTAGTGTTTAAACGTGGAGGAGGCAATGGCATCCCACTCCAGTACTCTCGCCTGGAAAATCTCTTGGATGGAGGAGCCTGGTAGGCTGCAGTCTACAGGGTTGCTAAGGGTCAGACACGACTGAGCGACTTCGCTTTCACTTTTCACTTTCATGCATTGGAGAAGGAAATGGCAACCCACTCCAGTGTTCTTGCCTGGAGAATCCCAGGGACAGCGGAGCCTGGTGGGCTGCCGTCTATGGGGTTGCACTGAGTCAGACACGACTGAAGCGACTTAGCAGCAGCAGTGTTTAAACGGGCTTCCCAAGTGGTGCAGTGGTAAAGAATCCGCCTGCCAAAGCAGGAGATGCAAGGGACATGGATTCAATCCCTGAGTTTGGAAGATCCCCTGGAGTAGGAAATGGCAACCCACTCTAGTATTCTTGCCGGGAAATCCCACGGACAGAGGGGCCTGGTGGGCTGCAGCCCACAGAGTCACAAGACATGAGTCGGACATGACTGAGCTGAGCGACTGAACACAGTACCGCACACACAGCACAGTGTTTAAATGGAAGAGCGTTATCAAGTGGTAGGAATCGTCTAAAAAATACAAAGTGTAAAAGCGAAGAGAATGGAGTGGGTATCTGTATGGGGTGTCTGAGTGACAGGGGAAGGGAGAGGAGGGGATCCCAAAGAAAGCTACCCCATCAGATTTTCTGTCGTATTTAAAGCTTACAAAAGGGTTCCACATAGCAAACCATCCTTAATGCCTTAATGCAGCCCTGTGCTTTGACATCATTTTATCCCTGATGATCTAAATACCCTTCCATCTCAGCTACTTCTGGTTCCATTTGCCAGGGAGACTCCACTGGTCTGAGAAAGTACCAAACAAAGATGAAGCACCAGCTGAGGAAACAGGGCTAATCAAGTATGCGTGCATATGTGTGTGTGTTGGTTTGGGGGGTGGTGGTGGGGTGTCCTGCATTTTCTGAAATAACAGGCATGGGAGCGAGGAAGAGACTTCTGAATCTGGTGTGGGAAGAGAAGGTGAGGTTCTCAATCTGGCCACATTACAGTTTCCAAAACAGACATCACTAAACACATTTTAAAATACATATCACTTTTTCTAATAATTATGGGGCCTGCAAGAATTAGCTTCAAGCCAAGAAACTGTGCTGATGGCTTATCCTGAACCATGACCCACTTCTCATAGAGAATGCTAACTGCTGCCTAAAATAATGGGAGAGTCCTGAGGTGGTGAGGGTGGGGGACAGTAAGGCAGAAAGGAAAAAAGAACTTCCCCCACCTCTCTGATTTTTTTTTTTTTTTTGGTATTGTTACTGGGACTTGGTTGAAATCAAACTTGGTTAAAAGGTTAATAATAATTCATGTCCAGCTTACTATGACTCAATAACCATCAAAGTCGCTAACTCAAAATAGTGTTTTCTGGCTTACAGGATCAGAGTCATTACACTGTATTGAAGACTTTATTGAATTTTGCACGAAGCTTTAGCTGACTGAACAGGTCAAGCACCGTGGCTCAGAGTTTTCTTTATTCTCAGAAAGTCATAAAGCCCCCTCCAGTTTGCCAGCCCACTGGCTAAGAAACCTGACTCAGCTCGGGGTCAGGGGAGCTGACCCCACCGGAAAGGTCACCTCGTTGTAAAGCCCCGTTCCCCACCCCCCTTCACTCACATGCACCAGCTGCTCCTGGGTGTCGAACTCTCGAGAACAGCCTTCCCAGTGGCAGTTTGTCTCGTAGATGACTTCAGGCTCCTGTTTGCTTTCATCTTTGTCCCCTTCCTCCTTCACCAGGGTTGTCCCTTCTGGCTGTTCCTGAAAGGAAGGGAAGGGGGAAGCGAGGAGATAGAGGGGGACAAAAATCAGACACAATAGGAGGGCGGATAAGAAGAGAAAGGAGAAACTTGATGTAAGCTTGTCTTCCTCCAGATGCAGTTTTTTGGGGGAAAGTAAAATGGAGCCCAGGTCTAACAACTGTGTTTGTGAATTGAAGAAACCAGAGATAGAATGATTTTTGTGCTTTTTTTTTTTTTTTTAAGATTTACCCAATACACCGTCAGAGGTCATTAACTTGTGATTATAGACAATAATCCAAACCAGAATATTGGTGCGATGTTGAGGCCAAACTTTGTTATCCTGGGTACCAAGGTGGAAAAAAAAAACAAACAAAAATCTAAGATGTCATCTCTTAAGAAAAGCAATCAAACTAGGTCATGTAGTCTTTACCTAGAAGACTGGTCTTTCTCTTTCAGTTAGTCTTTTCAGCATATTAATTTGTTTATTCTCATAGTCTGGAATTCAGGGAAAGGGTTTACTGCTAATTCTAATTCTGTTCTTCCTGCCATTGGAGGTTGTGAGAGGCACTCTGTGGATTTTTACAGGGATGATGTCTCCTTGGTTCAACTTCTGGTCTCCAAGGCTACACTCCTTGCCCAGGAGCCACAAATCTAAAACTTCGCAGCATAGTCTTTTCTAGGTTTCTAAGGCAGCTTTGCAGAAATGAAAAGACAAAGAATTTCCAGAATTCTGGGAGATGGTTAGGTATGTAAATTCAGGATCTGACCTGCAGTTAGATGGCAAAAGCTGTCTACAAGTGTTTAGGTATAATTAGCAAAATGTAAGAGCAAACCCATGACACCCATTCATTCCATCCTTCAAGTGCTCCCTGAAAAGGAAACGTGGACTTAAGTTTGGGCTAAAACAGCTTGACAATTTCAGGGTCCACATTCTATGCACATCCAGACTCTTGTCCAACCCCTATCTCAGGTGTTGAATTAATATTCATTGAGCTCCATATTGGGCACAGGGAACCTGAAAGATAGGGTGATGGGCATAACCTAAATATTTTTGAAACTGAAGCTCAGGATCTCAATAACAGCATAGACTAAACTGAAACTTAAACTTGTACTTTCAGGACTTTGGGTAAAAGCCAGAATTGAAATAACTTTAGATCACGTTAGTTGCGGCGGGATCCCTCCTGGCTCTGTAAGGTCTCCTGGCCAGTGGGAAGTGGCAAAATAAGAACAAGAAAGAACATGATCATTGTGGAGAATATCCTTGGTCTGCCCTGCCCAGACTGAGAGCCAGGCACTCGCAAATCAGGCCCAAGATCAGAGCCAAGGCCTGAAGTTTGTTCACATCCCTGATCAACAACAAATGCATCCAACCACTTACTCTATGAGCTCCAGTATCTACCCCACAGAGCTGCCTGCATTTTTGTGTGTTTGCTTCTGAGCTGGAGAAACAGTGTCAAACTCCAGACCTAGCCATCTGTCAAACACGTGTATATTGCCAAGGCCAAGAACACAGCAGACAAGCCGAAGCCGTGAAAGATGCCAGGCTAGATGGGGCCTGAGTCAGGCGCCTCCCTCACCTGCTGGCCCCGCGGCCCTGGGCTGGGGAGGTCTTCATCTGGTTTGATCTTGGAGCGTTTGTTGTGCACCAGGTCTCCTGTACTGCTCACCGCAGACTCACTCGTGGGCTTGTTCTGTGGGTCACATTGGCAGGGACAGGGACGAAAATCAGATTCTGATTGACCAGCAGGACCACAGCTAAAACACACAACCCAAGACTAGCAGGCTTCTTTGGCACTAGAGTGATGACAGATATGGCTCCCATTTCCAGTAGGAGTTCACAGCTAGGATAATGAACTTATTTACAAACAGAAATCACATTACAGATGTAGAAAACAGTCTTATGGTTACCAAGAGGAAGTGGGTAGAGGGATAGATTGGGAGATTGGGATCGACATGTACACACTACTGTATATAAAATGGGCTTCCCAGGTTGCAATAGTGGTAAAGAACCTGACTACCAAATCAGGAGACATAAGAGACATGGGTTCGATCTTTGAGTCAGGAAGATCCCCTGGAGGAGGGCACAGCAACCTACTCCAGTATGCTTGCCTGGAGAATCTCATGGACAGAGGAGCCTGGAGGGCTACAGTCCATAGGGTTGCAAAGCGTTGGAACAAGTGAAACGATTAGCATGCTCGCACACATATATAAAATAGAACTATTAGGGCCTACTGTATAGCACTGGACACTACTCAGTACTCTGCAATGACCTATAAGGGAAAAGAATCTAAAGAAAGTGGATATATGTAAATGGAGTCACTTTGTTGTATACCTGAAACATTGTAAATAACTGTACTGAAATAAAAATTGAAAAAAAAAAACCTCAGGATATTCATGAGGCATTCATGAGGCGTCTCCTTGTTTTTAATCATGAGTACCAACTTCTGGTGGTTTTTCAAAGCTAGTGGAAAAGAGCTGGGATCCTAGGTTTAAACGCACTCCAATAGTCCAGCACACAGGGACCGAATAACAGTAACCCATTCATGGGATGTATGTTTATTTTATTTATTAAAATTTTAAAAAATTTATTTTATCTATTTTTAACTGAAGGATAATTGCTTTACAGAATTTTGTAGATTTCTGTCAAACATCAGTAAGAATCAGCCATAGGTGCACCCATGTCCACTCCCTCTCGAACCTCGCTCCTATCTCCCTCCCCATCCCACCCTTCTAGATCGTCACAGAGCCCCTGTTTGAGTTTCCTGAGTCATAGAGCAAATTCCCATTGGCTATTTCACATATGGTATTGTAAGTTTCTGTGTTACTCTATCCATGGGATGTATGTTTATGAATGGACAACAGACCGCACAGGGTCAGAGGGAAGCTAGATCAAGCAGCTTTTCCACCAAGGATAAAATGACTAGTGGAAGAAGCTCTTGTTTCTTGAGGAGCACATACATGGCACAGTCAACAAATCTGAAGACAGAGAGCCCTCGGTGGGGTGGGCAGGTTGCGGTATGGAAGCTGTGAGGATGCTATGGCCTGTGCACATCCATAGCTGATGTGGCCCCCTGGCTTTCCTCTATGGTTCCCAAGACAAACCAGATCATGAAGATGTCTCTCTCACCTGTGAGGACTCGGAAGGGCCGGAGCTGACCTGAACGGGGTTCAGAACTGTAGGGATCCCGGGAATAGGCCTCTGGGTTGGGAAAGTTGGGGCGGGGTGGATGAGCGGAGGGCTGTGTCCAAAGGCTGAGCCTAAGCCCTGCTGTCGGCTTAGGATCTGCTGATGCATGTGGAGGGACACAGGCGCCGAAGGGTAGGTGAAGCTCAGGGCAGGGCTGCAGGTGGGAAATAGAGGGAAAACCATCATTCGCACGGGATGCACAGACCAGCTCACTTCTATATTTAGTTTTTCCTCCCAGGTCGCATCAGGGCTGCGTGTTCAAATTAAAAAGTAAAAACGATGATTGACCAACATCTCAAAACTTCCTAGAGAAAGGCGATGGCTTAGAAGGGACACACGTGGGTATGTGCACAGATCCGCAGACCTAAGATTCTGTACAACAGAAGCAAAAGGCATCGGCTCAATAACAGCTATTTATTGCAATAACAAACTTTATATAACAAAGAGAATGGGTGACTACATGCTTTATAGGACTTTGATCGGCTCCTCATCCTGTAAGTCTCCATGCAGGGAGCAATTCTTTTCATCTCAGCTCACCCTGCACACTTTCATATGTCTCCAGATCTTATTACAAGAGGAAAGAAAATCAATTGGTTAAATGTGTTTTGAACACCATGCTTGTCATATCACTCATTTGTTTGTAAAGATGGAAAGCTTGGTTCATCCAGAATGCCACCTAAAGAATTTCCATCAGTGCCGTCTGGTTACAGAAGCTGATGGATTAACCTCTCCCGGCTGAAATCGGTGATCAATGAGCTTCGATGGAGCAATATTCCAATGGGAGAGCATCGCTCCCTCTTCCAGCTAAAGAACACTCAATGTCTATTAACGTCCATTATACATGCTAATACCTGTCACCACTTCATTATGCCCGAGTATTTCCCAGGCTGCCGGAAGTTCTGAGGAAGCCGCACTATGACCTTAAGACTTCTGGACGAGTAGGCAGTGCCAGATTGTTTTCTGCACCAGCATAGTTAGGAATCCAATCCTCTTATGAGAATAAAGTGCTCTTGAGGAATTTGCCGATGACTTTAAAAAAAAGCACAAAACACTGTAAATGCATTCGTGAAAATCTCTTCCTTAAAAAAAAAATACTCAGTGGGAAAATATATACATACATAGATCTTTTCTCTATCCTACTGTGTAAGATCCAGAAAGAATCAAGGTTTCTTGCAAAGTCAAAGGTAGAATTCGTGAAAATTTTCCAATCTGGTGGGTTAATTACTATTGCCGTTAAGCACATTAACTGAGAATATAATAATTACAATAACAAAATTCAAACCATTTCAACAACTTTAAGTAATAATGCTGAATATATACTCACTTCATTAATGTGACTCCACATTTTGCCCATTTGACTACAATCCATAAAAGGCAATTTCAATGGGATTACATTACTATTATTTCTACAGAGAACCTTGCATTACAATAGCTTGCCTATTTAAGACTGAATATCATTAAGAATACCCTAGGAGAATTTCACCGGGCTTGGAGGAACCCTCCTTTCATTCTGTATTGTGTTTCTTTAATAAAGGAGAGCAGAAACCTGGTGAAAACAGCCATTGTTCACAGTAAGTTAGGGAAAAATCAGTAATAATATTCCGCTTTTGCAGCGCTATAGTTTCTGCCAGTATTTCCGAAAGCAACCATGAATGATTACACCAAGACTTAGTGAAGGTAGCTGTGCGGATGATTGATAGGGCATTAATCAAAAGATGCATATCTGCCTCAGAATTTGTTCACAAGCTTTCTTCTAATAGCTGATTTCATGTTCACTGAGCTCTATGCCAGTTTGTTCAATTTATTTTTCGGTGTACAAGCCATTCATCAAAAAACACAATGATTTAACCCTCCCATTCCCCCCCCCCTTTCTTTTGGTGAATGGTTATTCCTAAGTGTAACTACCTCATTCTGTTCATTAAAAAAAACAAAGAAAAAACTAAAAGATCCCGTTAGCCACATATTTACAATGTGATATGGACTCTGCCCAAAACTCCATGCACCTTTCCTGAGTTTCACGAGACTGAATGATCAGGTAGGCTTAGTAAGGGGGCCCCTTGGGTCATGTACAGCTCTAATTGCGGGGGGCCCAATATTGGGGAGCTCAGAAAGTCAGGACCCAATTAATAGTCAAGACTGTCAGAGGCAGTCTTTCCTGCCTTTCACAAGGCAGGAAATGCCATCAGTTGTGTATATAACGCAATTTACAACTGTTAATAGCCAGATAGGATAGGTCCATTTGTACTTTTAAAAAGCTGTAGAAGAAAAAAGGCAGGGCCAGCATTGGTGCTGCAGCACCCTGTCCCCAGGTGTGAAGTCTCTGACCTCAGCAGATGTAGGAAGGGCTGCAAGACCTTTCAACCCATGTGGGTTTTGTCCCTTTTGGGGCTGCATTTTCACTGTTCAAATCACAGAACAGGAATAAACGCTGGCCAAAATCCATGTCAACTTTTAGATTCCAAGGGATATAAGAACATACAGAAGGGGCCAGCGAATTTTAATTTTTCTGAAATTTTAAATTTATTTTATCTTTTAGTGGTACTTTGAGGCATGTGGGATCTTAGTTCTCTGACCAGAGATCAAAACTGTGCCCCCTGCATTTTAAGCGTGGAGTCTTCACCGCTGGACTGCCAGAGACGTCCCGGACCACCACATTTTAGTGGTCCCTACTTATTCACAAGGAGTCAGCAACAGATACACTCTCTCCTCTATGTGCAAAGAGCTGGGTGATAGCAGACACAGGTAGAGGCCTCACATCACCCCACAAGAGTAGGCACTGCAGTCAGCTCCTGGGAGGAAGGCCACTTGCTCAGGATTACAAAGCCTGTGTAGGATTTGATGACAGAAGTAGATGTTTTTGGCTCTGTAGCAGCATCAGTGAATGAATTCGAGAGACCAGTTGCCTCTTGGTTTTAGAACAGCCTGCGAGGTTGTCCCTGCAGTTGTATGAAGAAGCAGCAGAGGATGAGGGATGACTGGGTGCTGCACGTAATGTCAAGCAGAACAAAAAACATCACCATCCTCCCAAGAGCATGTAAAGAACCTCTGAGGACTTCCCACCAGTGGGAGGGGGCCGGGGACCAGGGCCACCACCCCCATTCTCTGATGCCAAGTGAGAGGTCATCCTAAGCTCTATATCCCCGTACTCCTGTGTCCTTCCAGAGGCCAGCATGGCTGCTCACACTTGGTCACACAGACTCCAACTTAAATGTCACCTCCTCAGACACAGAGGCCTCCTGAGGCCAAGGCCCCATCTAAACCAGCCCCCTCCACAGCTCCTCATGGCATCATGCACTCCTGTTTGACAGCTGTGTTTTCACTGCAGGACAAGGATCTCTGAAAACACATTTTCTCCCTCCCTCCGAATGTTAGGTTTGGGGGAGCTGGGCCCTGGCCTGTCTTGTTCTTCACTAACCCCTGGTGCCTGGAACACTGCCAGGAACAGGGCAGCCCCTCAAGATGAGTTGATGAGTGATGGAACCACTCTCTCAAGGTATGAGTTGCCGTTACAACACATCACCACAAGTTTAGTTGTTTTAAAACAAAATACACTTGCTCTCTTGAGAAATACAAGATACAATCAAGATTGCTAGAAGAAATATCAACCACCTCAGATATGCAGATGATACCACACTAATGGCAGAAAGTGAAGAGGAACTAAAGAGCCTCTTTGTGAGGGTGAAAGAGGAGAGTGAAAAAGCTGACTTAATCTTCAACACTGAAAAAACTAAGATCATGGCAATTGGTCCCATCACTTCATGGCAAATAAATGGTGAAAAAGTGGAAAAAGTGGAAAAAGTCAGATTTTCTTTTGTTGGGCTCCAAAAAGACTATGGACAGTGACTGCAGTCATGAAGTTAAAAGACACTTGCTCCTTATAAGGAAAGCTATGACAAACCTAGACAGGATATTAAAAAGCAGAGACATCACTTTGCCAACAAAGGTCTGTCTAGTCAAAGTCATGGTTTTTCAAGTAGTCATGTATGGATGTGAGAGTTGGACCATAAGAAAGGCTGAGCACCAAAGAATTGATGCTTTTGAATTGTGGTGCAGAGAAGACTCTCGAGAGTGCCTTGGACTGCAAGGACATCAAACCAGTCAATCCTAAAAGAAATCAACCCTGAATATTCATTGGAAGGACTGATGCTGAAGCTGAAGCTCCAAGAGTTTGTGATGTGAAGAGCCAATTCACTGGAAAGGATCCTAATGCTGGGAAAGACTGAAGGAAAAAGGAGAAAAGGGCGACAGAAGATGTGATGGTTAGATAGCATTACCGACTCGATGGATATGAATCTGAGAAAACTCTGGGAGACAGTGAAAGACACGGGAGCCTGGTGCGCTACAGTCCATGCGGTCACAAAGACTCAGTCAGACATGACTTAGTGACCAAACAACAACACTGCTCTCTTATAGCTCCAGAGGTCAGAATCCTCGAATGGGTGGGCAGTACTGCATTCCTCTGGAGTCTCTGGGCACCTGGCCTCTTCCTGCTTCTAGAGACTGCCTGCATCCTCAGCTCGTGGCCTCACCTCACTCCAACCTCCTGTGACTACCTTAACTCTGACACCATCACGCCTCTCTCTTATAAGGACCCCTGTGGTTATATTGGGCCACCTGCGTGGTACAGAATCATCTCCTCTTCCTAAAATCTTTAACTGAATCACAGCCACATAATTCCTTTTGCTGTATAAGATAATACACTTACAGATTCCAGGGAGTAAGATGTGGCATTTATGGGGGCCCATTATTCTGCCCACCCCCCTCAGAACAATCACTTCGAAGAAAAGCAATTTGACAAAATTTATCAAACAGTGCAAAGCTAGTAACTAGATCTGTGTGTTTCTGTAGAACTTCAGTAGCCGAGGACATGCTGCTGATTACAGAGGTTGAAATTGTTTTTGAAAAGTAAAGTTCAGTGGTAAAACAATCTGCCTGCAATGCAGGAGACGCACAGGAAACCCAGGTTCGATTTCTGGGCTGGGAGAATCCCCTGGAAGAGGAAATGGCAACCCACTCCAGTATTCTTGCCTAGAAAATCCCACGGACAGAGGAGCTTAGCAGGCTACAGTTCATGGGGTCTCAAAAGACGTGGACACAACTTACTGACTAAATAACGACAACAAATTCCATTTTTAGAAACCCTGAAAATAAATC